GTCTAATTTAGCAGCCTTTGTGCGGTACTTTGACAACAGTCTTCTGGAAATCCAAATAGATCATGTCCAATGGCTGTCCTTTGTCTAACCTGTTTGTTACCTCCTCAAAGAATTCAAACAGATTTGTCAGGCATGACCTCCATTTGACGAGGCCTTGCTGACTCTGCCCTATTTTACCAAGCACTTTCAAGTACTCTGTCGTCTCAGTCTTAACAAGGGACTTTAAAATCTTGCCAACAACCGAGGTCAGGCTAATCTGATAGTTTCCTGCCTCTGTCTTCCTCCTTTCTTAAACAGGGATGTTGCATTAACCATTTTCCAACCATCTGGGACCCTCCCTGACTCCAGGGATTCCTGAAAGATCATCACCAATTCCTCTACAACCTCCTCCGCTATCTTCGTAAATACTCTTGGGTGTAGTCTTGATGATTTATCCACCTTCAGACCTTTCAGCTTCCCAGCACCTTCTCCTTAGTGATGGCCAGTGCACTCACTCCTGCCCCATGTCTCTCTTGAAGTTCTGGTATGCGGCTGGTGTCTTCCACTTTGAAAACTGATGCAAAGGCCTGTTCAGTTCCTCTATCATTTCTTTGTTCCCTATTACTGGAATTTCATAATCTTAACAATAAATTTCCCATTCTCAAATACCTGCAAACTTCCCTTTTAAAATTACTTAAGGGCTTGAATTCTTTTCAGGTGGAACGTTTCAGATCCTGACAACTCTCTGTTGATTCACAAACTGCTGAAGCCTATGTTGAGTCTGGAGGTTATAAAGGGCTTAAGTGAAAGGTGCTGTTCCCCGAGTTCTCATTGAGCTGCATTGGAACAGTACAGGAGGCTGAGGTCAGTGTAGGTGTGAGCAGACAGTGAAAATGACAAGGTTGCACTGTGAGTGCTGCTTGGCTAAATGAGTGCTTTGAAGATGGGTGAAAACTGAGAGGAAGGTGAGATAGGGAGAACGTGAAGTTGAAAGATTGAGTGTGGTGCCTCAATTCCATCTCAGTTTGGGCCGTTCAGAAAGTCACACAGTCCCAATGGCAACTGCCAATTTGTAAGTGATACCTGTGGAGTTTTTTTTCCCACAGTTTTTAAAGTACAATATATCAGTTTCTATAAAGGTAGGGGCCTTCGATTATAACAAAAATGTTTGAAATGAAGGAAACTCACTAGCTTTTAAATTCCCTTAATGAAAGTAACTAGCTGAATCGAGACTGAAGTCATGACAGGAGACCTCAGACCCGTGATGTGCTGCTGTTTGCACAATGTGGGAAATAAGGGACGCTTCCAGTGTCCCTAATGGCTACGTGTGCGGGAAATATGTCCACCTGCAGATACTGGGTAACTGATTTTTGGATCTGGAGCTGTGGGTGGACTCATTGTGGAGCATTCACAATACTGCAAATGTTCATGAACAGCACATTTAGAGGGTCAGCAATACCACAGGAGAGGATTACACAGGCAGAAAGGGTGACCATAAGATAAAATAAAAGGCTCAGGAAGGAAGTGCAGGAGTCCCTAGTGGATATCCACCTCTCAAACAGATATACCACTTTGCATTTTGCTGGAGGGGGGAATGGGTGGAGTGGCCTCTCCAGGGAACTCAGCAGCAGCCAGGCTCATGACACCACAGATAGCTCTGCTGCACAGAATGGGGAAGAAAGAGAGTGGCAGGGCTATAATGACAGGAGATTTAATAGTCAGGGGCACAGACAGGCACTTCTGTGGCCGCAGACATTAAACCAGGACAGATTGTTACCTCCCTTGTGCCAGGATCTGCAATATCATAGAGTGGTTGCCGGACATTCTCAAGCTAGAGGGTAAACAGCCAGTGGTCATGGGACACATAGATACCATAGCTTAACAAAGGAATGAGTGCCTGAAATCTGAATATAGGAAGATAGAAGATACATTAAAATACAGGACATCAAATGTAATAATGTCAGACTTACTCCCAGTGCTACATGCTAGTGAGAGCAGGAATAATAGGATAGATCAGATGAATAGGAGGCTGGAGAAATGGTGTACCGAGAAGGGTTTAGATTCTTCAGGCATTAGGACTGTTTCTGGGTTATTTGCGACTTGTACAAGCCTGACCAATTGCCCCTGGGCAGAGCTGGGACAAATCTTCTTGTGGGAGTTTGCCAGTTGCGTTGGTGACTTTTAAAATAGTATGGCAGGGGGATGGAAACCAAAGTGTAGGTATAAATGGGTCAGATTCAGATGAAGAACTGGGAGGTAGAATATTAGTTAGTGAAGCAGTCAACGGCTCAGAAAGACAAAAGGAAGGATAATTAAATGAGGATAGAGTCTCTCTTCATACATCAGTCCTGAGATCCCAGAAATCAATCTGGTGAACCACTCTCTCAATAGTCAGGCCATCCTTCCTTGGGAAAGGAGAACAAAGGTACACATTGTACTTCAGGTATGGTCTTACGAAAGCCCTTGCAGAAAGATATCTTTGTTTCTGTACTCGAATCCTCTTACTATGAAGGCCAACATATCAGTTTCTTTCTTTATTCATTCATGGGATGAGGACGTCGCTGGCCAGGCAGCATTTATTGCCCATCCCTAATAGCCCAGAGGGCAGTTAGGAGTCAACCACATTGCTGTGGGTCTGGAGTCACATGTAGGCCAGACCAGGTAAGGTTGGCAGTTTCCTTCCCTAAAGGATATTAGTGAATCAGATGGGTTTTTCAGACAATTAACAATGGATTCACAGTCATCATTAGATTCTTAATTCCAGGTATTTATAGGGTTCAAATTCCACCATCTGCCATGGTGGGATTCAAACCCAGGTCCCCAGAACCTTATCTGGGTCTCTGGATTAACAGTCCAGTGATAATACCACGAGGCCATCACCTCCCATTTGCTTTCTTTACTGCTTGCCGCCCCTGCCTGATTCCCAAAAAAGAGAATCACAGAAAAACACAACACAAAATGGTGTCAGAGACGCTGATATAAAATTGTAGATGACAATGTCCCCATCATATCCATGCTGGTCATCAAGCACCTACCTACTCTAGTCCCATTTTCCGGCATCCAGCGTGTAACCTATATTGTAGTGCCTTGTATAATCAACTAAACATTTCTTCAAGGTTGCAATGGTTCCTGTTTCTGTCACCATTTCAGATGCTGCCACACCTGTGTATCTCCAGCATTTTTGATTTTTATTTCAGATTTCCACCATTTTGCTTAAGCCTTAGAGTCATAGAGTTATACAGCATGGAAACAGACCCTTCAGTCTAACTTGTTCATATCGACCAGATATCCTAAACTGATCCAATCCCATTTGTGAGCATTTGGCCCGCATCCCTCTGAATATTTCCTATTCGTGTACCCATCGGGATGCATTTTAAATGTTGTAATTGTACCTGCATCGGCTACCTCCTCTGGCAGTTTGTTCCATAAACGCACCAACTCCTGTGTGGAAAGATTCCCCTTAGGCCCCTTTTAAATTTTCCCCTCTCACCTTAAACTAATGCCTCTAGTTTTGAACTCCCTGACCCAGGGGAGAAAAAGACCTTGGCTTTTCACACTATCCATGCTCCTCTGCAAGGTAATCCCTCAGCTTCCAACACTGCAGGGAAAAAGCCCCAGACTATTCAGCCTCTTCCTTTAGCTCAAACTTTTCAATCCTAGCAATAACCTTGTAGATCTCTTCTGAAATCTTTCAAGTTTAACAATGTAGAATCATAGAGATGTACAGCATGGAAACAGATCGTTCATACCAACTCGTCAATGCCGACCAGCTCATTGTATACATGCACCACCCTCTGCGTAAAGAAAGTTGCCCCTTAGGTCCCTTTTAAGTCTTTCCCCTCTCATGTTAAACCTATGCCATCTAGTTTTGGATTCCCCTACCTTGGGAAAAAGACCTTGACTATTCACCCAATCAGTGCTCCTCACGATTTTATAAACCTCTATAAGGTCGCCTTCAATGCTCCAGGAAAAATAGCCCCAACATATTCAGCCTCTACCTATAGTTCAAACGCTCCAACCCGAGCAACATCCTTGTAAATCTTTTCTGAACTCTTTCAAGTTGCACAACATCTTTCCAATAGCAGGGAGACCAGAATTGAAAGTAGTATTCCAGAAGTGGCCTAACCAATGTCCTGTAAAGCCACAACATGACCTCCCAACTCCTCTACTCAATGCACTGACCAATAACAGCTAGCATACCAAACACCACCACCTCTACCTATCTACTGCAACTCCACATTCAAGGAACTATGAACCTGCACTCCAAGGTCTGTTTGTTCAATAACACTTCCCAGGGCTTGCTGTTAAGTGTATAAGTCCTACTCTGGTAACATCTTTCTGAAAATAGGAGGACTAGAATTGAACGCAGTATTCCAAAATTGGCCTCAGCAATGTCCTATACCCTGCAACATGCCCTCCCAACTCCTAAATTCAATCATAGAATTCCTACATTTGGGCACGTGCCCGCACCAATCATCTGAAGAGCATCCCCACCCTATCCATTTAACACTGCATTTCCCATGGCTAATCCATCTAACCTGTACATCTTTGGACTATGGGAGGAAGCCGGAGTATCCGCAGGAAGCCCACACAGACACAGAGAATGTGCAAACTCCATACAGATAGTGGAATCGAACTCAGGTCCCTTTATTGATCAGCGCACTGATAAATGCAAGCGTGCCAAATGCCTTCATCAGCACCTAATCTACGTGAAATTCCACTTCCCAGGAACTATGCATTTGTTCTTAGCCCTTCAGAGGGATTGAGGGTATGAGGAGAAAAATAACAGAATTTAGTTGTAGATCTATAAAATGCCTTCCTTCATGCCTCTATTTCTCACTATGGTTTTGTGTCAACATTGACTCGTTCCATTCCCTGAAGGGCATTTATGAACCAGTTCAGTTTAAGTGTTAATTCAGCAGTTTCCCCAAGTGTCATCTCCACAAGTGACCAGATTACTTTCTCTCAATTTCACAACTTTCTTCTGGTTTCTCCTAATAAATTTGTTTTCTGTTTGAAAGGTTGATTTGCAAATGAAACTACATCCAGATCTGACAATTGCTCTGTTTGTAATAACCTAATCAGGATTTTGAACATTGAAGGAAAAAGCACCGTTCACAATGGGGAGAAACACATATCATCTGTGTGGAAGAGTGTGAAGATTCATCTGAAATGTCCAAACGCCAGTACAGTCACACTGGGAAAAGACTATGGGAATGTGGGGGTGGTGGGAAGGGATTTCTTTACCCATCTCAGCTGGAAATGCACCAATGCAGTCACACTGGGGAGAAGCCATTCACCTGCCCTCATTGTGGGATGAGATTCACTCTGTCGTCCCACCTGCAGATACACCAGCGAGTTCACACAGGGGAGAGACCATTCACCTGCTTCCTGTGTGAGATTCAGTCAGTCATCCAAACTGCTTATACACCAGCAAGTTCACACTGGCAAGAAACCATTCACTTGCTCCCAGTGTGGGAAAGGATTCAGTCAGTCATTCAGCCTGTGGATACACCAATGCAGTCACACTAGGGAGAGACCATTCGCTGGGGAAAAATATTCACTCATTCAACTCACCTGCTGATACATCAGTGTGTTCACTCTGGGGAGAGACCATTTACTTGTTCCGTATGTGGGAAGGGATTCACTCTGTCATCCAAACTGTTAACTCACCAGTGAAATGAGACTGGGTGGATCCTGTTCACCTGCTCTGTTGTGTAAAATGATTTGCTGTTTGCAAACACAACAGCAAATTCTCAAAAAACTACAGGTGAAAGATTTTGCTTTTACTTACACCTAGGAATGAACCTTGGTCATTGGGCCATCTGTATTGATATTATTAAACCCTGCTCCATTAAAGGTCCTGCTATTGTTGGTAAAATGTTGATACGATTGTATATCTGTATGATAAGTTTTGAAATGATCACAATTTCACTGTACATCAACACATTTAAATTGGGTAAAGACTGTCCACCTGCAAGTTGATTGCAAAGTGATTTTGTGGTTCATCAGGGCTGTTTAAACAGTGGTGAGCTCCCTAGTAACTCCGTGTTGGATTTTGATGTTGTTTTTGTCTATATGCAAACCCATTTTCTGGACCTGTTTCTGAAGATGTTTGTAAACACCACAGGTTCAGTGACTTATTTGGGATAAACATAATACAAATCATCTTTTCATTAAAACTATGTTGCATTAATTCTGCCTCATTCTGAGTGCCTTAGAAATAAAATAATCATGTGTACTCTTCATATGAGCAGTTAGAAGAAGGCACATCCAGAGTGAGATATAGCCTGTAATGCTGGAAATTTAGTTACAAGTGCTGTTGGGCCATGTGTACCTAACTTGGCAAAGGGATGGGATGCAGAGTGAATGTCCAAAAGGGTAAGAAGAAAAGAGAAGAATCAACAAGTGAGTCAGGAACGTATCGACATTACAGGCCAGTTAAGGCCTGAGAGTTTGACATGGTTGAATGGCATTGATTTAAATGCTACTAGCTTGATGAACAAGGTAGATGAGTTGAGGATACAAATTAAAACATGGGAGTATGATGACATTGCTGTCGCTGAGATATGGTTGAGAGAGAGGCAGGATTGGAGGCTTAATGCTCCAGGATACAGGGTCTTCATATGAGACAACGAAGGGGGCAGAAGAGGAGGATATCATAATTATGTTCAGGTAATTTATTACAGCTTAAAAAAACTCCCTAAATAAAGCCACTTGGATGGAACTAGAAAAGCAGGTAAGGAGGTAAATTTCAGGTAAGTGTAAAAGTAATAGGGTCATGATAGCAGGGAATTTCAACTTTCCCCAACATTGGTCGTCATAGTGTGAAAGGTTTAGAGGAATAGATCCGTTACAGCTTTTGAAACCAGGATGTAGAAGTCCCAACAAGGAAGGGGAAGGTCCTGGACTTAACTTGACGTAACCAAGGTGGACAAGTGCTTGAAATATTTGTGGAGGATCATTTTGTTGACAGTTATCAGAACACTTTCGAAAAGATTCCGGATTGTTATGGTAAAGAACAATGATGGACCTGCAATCAAAGTTCTAAATTGGTTGATTTTAATAAGATATGATTTGACCTGAATGCACAGGGAGCCGATACTATCGGGTAAATGTGCAAGAGGAACGTAAATAAGGAGATCAGGAGAGCTCTAAGGGGAACAAGAATTGATACTGCCAGGTGAAACAAAGGAACATGCTCTGTTGTTTTACAGGTACTTGAATGGTTAAAAGATAAGGGGGAACGAGTAAGGCCCATTAAGGACCTTAATGGTAGTGTAGAACTAGAGAATGTAGGCCTGGTTCTAAATGAATACTTTGTGTCAACACTCACTAATGAGAGAGATGAAACAGGAAGAAGGTCTGTGACAGGATGTAAGAAAATTAGCACAGAGAGAGAGATAGAGAGGGGAAAGACTAGTCTGGCAGGTTTAAATGCAGATCATTAGCCAGGGTCAGATGAAATGTATCCTACATTGTTGGGATGAAATAGCTGGGCACTTGCAAAAATTTTCAATACCTCTCTGACCACAGGAAAGGTACTAGAGGACTGAAGGACAGTCAAAGTGGCACTTCCATTCAAGAAGGGAGCAAGGGATAAACCAAGAGGGTGGTGCATCTATGGAACGAGCTGCCACAGGAAGTGGTGGAGACTGGTACAATTACATCATTTAACAGGCACCTGCATGCGTACGTGAATAGGAAGGGTTTAGAGGAATATGGCCTCCTGAAAAGAAGGATCACTGTCTTCTCTCGGCCTCTGGGGGTCAGTGGTCACTGTCTTCAGTTGGCCTCCGGTGGAGAATGGTTGTTGTTTTGTATTGATGCCTGGGGGAGAATGGTCACTGTTTTATCTTGTGTCAGCTAAAAGCACTGAACAGCCATTTTTATGTCAACTTTATCCATGCGCTGCTACAAAAACTCCCCCCTCTAGGCACTTGGCTTAAACACCACGTAGGCCAATGTAACTAATAGGATATATTCACAATCTCTACTATCATACCTAATTGGAGGAATCCTTCATTTCCCATATTTCCCCGTGTTCTGGCTCTTTGATACATCATTTGTTTTGACATACTAGTGTTGTTAATACAATCAAAATAATGAATTTTATTCCTGCTAGCACATGGGATATGATCCGGATCCAGGAGGGTGTATTTGGGTAATTAGTCCCCAGTCCCAAATTTGATTTAGCCAGCTTGGTTGTTTTAATTAGAGATAACAAGGTGTAGAGCTGGATGAACACAGCAGGCCAAGCAGCATCACAGCAGCAGGAAGGCTGACGTTTCGGGCCTAGACCCTTCATCAGAACCGAAATGTCAGCCTTCCTGCTCCTGTGACGCTGCTTGGCCTGCTGTGTTCATCCAGCTCTACGCCTTGTTATCTCAGATTTTCCAGCATCTGCAGTTCCTACTATCTCTGGTTGCTTTAATTCCCTGTCCACTTGCTGTGCATGAGTTTTAATCTCTGTTGTATGTTCAGACCATCGATGAATAACTTCTTTGGATATTTCCATTATCTTTACACAATCTGCAGTCACATGATGAATCAATGGTAATGCCATTGCTATGCATTGTAATAGTTCTCAATCTGTATCAGGTTGTTGGACGGCGAGATAGGCAGGGTCTGTCCATTGGTAGTAATGCTGTGGATCTGGCTGCAGTCTAAGAATAAGGGTAAGCCATTCAGGACTGAGATGAGGAAGAATTTCTTCACTCAGAGTTCTGAACTTATGGAATTCTCTCCCACAGGAAGCTGTTGGGGCCAGTTCATTAGATATACTCACGAGGTAGTTGGACGTGGCCCTTGTGGCTAAACAGATCAAGGGGTATGGGGAGAGGGTGGGAATGGGACACTGAGATTGCATGATCAGCCATGATCATATTGAATTGTGGTGCAGGCTCAAAGGGTCGAAAGGCCTACTCCTGCACCTATTTTCTCTGTTTCTATCTATTGTGATCATTCAGTATTTATTTTTCTGAGATTGAGGTAGGGGTCCTGTAAAATCCATCTGCAATTGTTCCCATGAGCCGCTGGGTGTCAGCTGCTGGCTCCATTTTATCTTGATTTGCTTTCCCTGGCTCGCACTGTGTGCAGACTACACATCTTTGCCAACATTTTATTATATCGCTCCCTATTCCAGGTCACCATCAGCAGCGGGTCATCTCAAATTGCATTTTGTCCCAGCTGATATGGGCCAGACTATGATATGTTTTTCTTAATGTTGGTCTTATACAGTGCAGTGCCAGTGCCCGATCCTGCATCTTCCAGACTCTGTCTTGCCCTCTCATTACCCCACCCTTTTCCCATTCCTGTTTCTCCTGTTGTGGGGCTACTTCTTGGAGTGTCCTTAAACTTGCCTCTCTTACTCCTGTAACTACTGCCACTGCCATTTCCTTAAATGTCTGCACTGTTTCAGTAGGCATTTTAGTTGCCTTACCCACAAAGTCGTTGTCCCATTGTTGCTGTGTTTGCATTTTGCTATGAGCAGTAATCTTAATTACTGCTGGGTCACAAGGAAAGTGAGCTACTTCCACCAACTCTTTAACCTATTGTTTGTGCTCTATGGGCCCCCAGATATGGTGATGTACCCTCACCGAACACAGCTCAACATATGGTTATGAATGATACCAAAGGCGTATCAACGGTCTGTGTATATGTAAATTCTCTGGGCCCTGGCTGATTTCAGTGTTTCTGTCAAGGCTATTAATTTTGCTACTTGGACTGAGTACCTCCCAGGACTCTGCTGTCCTGCTATCAAATTTACCTCTACATCTACCACTGCCCAAGCAGGGTGTTCCCTCACAGTATTTCCTTGATCCATCTACAAAAAGCTCCAACACTCCATCTCCTTCTAATGGTTCCTCAGCAATTCCACCACTCACTCCATCATCAACTTCTCTCACACACTCCTGTTCATCTCCTTCGTTCACCATCAGTCCTGCTGGGTTTACTATACTATCCCTGACTACTTTTATATGTTTATCTGCAGGCAGTAACACAGATTCCTGTTTGGCTCTATGACTATATGATACTGCCCTTAATTTTCCTGACTGTAACGGAGTCACCAGACTATGGGGTGTGTGTAGGACAACTTGTCCCATCAGGATATTAGGTTCGGACAGTGCGACTGCTCATGTGCACAATCCAAGGCCTGTGCCCACTGGTGAAGTCCGGCCACCACTGTTCTTCTTTAAGCAGTAAAGGCTTAAACCAAGCAAGGCTTGGTTTAACCTGGTAAAGGCTTCCTCTGACTGAGGGTCCCACTGCAGTCTTTCCCTAGACTGTACCCCCCCACCCTGCCAATAGGGCTTGTAATGGTTCTGCCAATTCTGGATAATTCTCTATGAAATTCCTACAATAATTAAACAATCCTGAAGTTTGTCTTACCCCCTTCACAGTGTGTGAGTGGGTAGTTTTAAAATCCTGATCTTTCATTCCGCTGGGAGTGTCTTCTCTCCCTTCCTGATTTATGTCCCCAATACGTCACTTGTCAATCAGGTGGGTAGGGTGCTGGTGCATACGCACAATTAATTGTTACTCATACTGTCACATATTCCCCACACTGAGACTCTCATCTTGACCGACAATAAGTCAGACTGTCACATCATCCCCACAGTGAGAACACTTATCCTGACAGACGATAACACATCTTGAGTCCTGCCATCCCAGGAATCAGACTGGTAAACCTTTGTTGTGTAGCCTCCATAACCAGAAGATGCTTCATCAGATAAGTATTCCAAACCTGCACACGATATTCAGGTATGGTCTCACCCAAGAGCCTGTGCAATTTCAGCAAGATATCCCTGCTCCTATACTGAAATCCTGTCACTGTAAAGACCAACATAATATTTGCCTTGTTCACCTCCTGCTGTACCTGTATGCTTACTTTCAGTGACTTGTGTACAAGGACACGGAGGTTTGTTTCACCTCTGCGTTTCCCAACCTGTTACCATTCAGATCTTAATCATCTTCCTGATTTTGTGAACAGAGTGGATATCTATTTATCCACATTATCCTTCATCTGCCTGACACTTTTGCCCACCCACTCAACTCCAAATCACACTGAAGTTAAACTGCATCCTCCTC